CCCCCCCCCCCCTGCGGCGGGGCTCCCCCCACCCCCGGGGGACGTCTCCAGGCCAACTCGAGCGCTTCGCTCCTCCCCCACACGCAGACCGGCCTCCGGCCGGGAAGCGCGGCCGCATCTCCGACACCAGAATATCGCGTCGTGCCCCGGGTCACGGGAACCACGCACGCCGGCTCGCGGGCCTCCCCCCGACGCAGGAGTGGGGCACAGACACACACACACACACACACACACACACACACACACACACACACACATACACACCCTGGCAGACAAACACCAACACGGGCCCGGCACTGGGCGGCGGAGGGGCGGCGCAGCGCGGCCACAGCGCGCCGGGACTCCCGGTCCGGAGGGGCAAGCCGCCGCCGGGCGGGCGACCGGGCGAAACGCCGGACACCTGCGGGGGCTCCGGGCGGAGCTCGGGGACCCGGCCGCCGCCGGGCGTTTTCCCCCCCTCCTCGCAGGCATGCGCCGCCGGCCGGGGGCCCGGCTTCGGGAGCCCCCGGCGGCAGGGGCGCGGGGCCGCTGGCGGGAAGCGCGCCCGCCATGGCGCTTCTCAGGAGGCCTTCTCCCGGGCATGGCCGTCCCCCGGCTCTTCCCCACGCCGGCCGGCCGCATGCCGGCCCCCATGCGTTCCCGCCGGGTGTTCCACGCTCGGGAAAAGTCCCGTCGCCCGGGCCGCACGCCGGCGCCCCAACACAGGCCCTTTGTCGGCCGTCGTCGGCCGGCGGGCGCGCTCGCGCGCTCGTGGCCCGGTATCCGCGCCCCCAGACGTGTGCTCTTCCGATCTCCCATGCGTTCCCGCCGGGTGTTCCACGCTCGGGAAAAGTCCCGTCGCCCGGGCCGCACGCCGGCGCCCCAACACAGGCCCTTTGTCGGCCGTCGTCGGCCGGCGGGCGCGCTCGCGCGCTCGTGGCCCGGTATCCGCGCCCCGGGGCCCGGCCGCGACCGCCGCCGAGTGCCCCGGCCACGGACCGGGCCCCAGCCCGCGGCGTTCGAGAAGTTCCCCCTCCCCCCCCGGGGGGGAAAAGAGGAAAAGCTGCACCGCGGGTCGCTCGGCCTCCTCTCAGGGGCTCTTGCCTTACTCGGCTCCCGCACGCGCGCAGCACGCAGGGGCCGCGTGCTGGCAGGGGGGGCACGCTGGTAACGCTCCACCCCCCCTCCGCTCGAGGCCGGGATACCCCCAGCCAGGCGGTCGTCCTCGCCCGGGCCCCTGGGGCCGGATGCGTGCGCCCCCCGCAGCCTGTTGACTTGATCCGCCGGCGCCCAGTCATCCCGGCGCGCGGGGGAACAAAGGCCTCCGTGACCCGCCACCGGGGCAGCAAACGCGCCGCCCGTTACCCAGATCGGAAGAGCACACGTGTCGTCCTCGCCCGGGCCCCTGGGGCCGGATGCGTGCGCCCCCCGCAGCCTGTTGACTTGATCCGCCGGCGCCCAGTCATCCCGGCGCGCGGGGGAACAAAGGCCTCCGTGACCCGCCACCGGGGCAGCAAACGCGCCGCCCGTTACCCGGGAAGAGCCGTGTCGTGGCGGGCACGTTCCTCGCTTCGGGCGCCCTGTTCCGAGCGAGAGAGAGGAAGAGAGAGAGAGGGAGAGAGAACACCCCCACCCCTCCTCTCCCCTGTGGGGCGGCTCACCAACGCATCCGCCGCCGGCCCGAGACACCGCCGCCGCCGCCGGAATATCTCGCTAGCATACCTCCGCGCTCCGGTGCACGCGGCCCCGCGCGAACAGGCGTGCCAGGGGCGCACACCCCCACGGGGCCGGGGCGAGCCGCTCGCCCCGCCGGCCGGCGGGGGACCGGGCAACAACCGAGGCCCGGAACCTGCGGCCGCGGCAGCGGCTCAACGGCGGGGGGGGGGGGGGAGGGGGGGGGGGGCCGAGCTCTCGGGAAACGGCGGGAAAAACACCACGCATCCCCCGCCTCCGCCCGGCGGACGCACAAGCGACAAGACCGCGTGTCAAGGATGATGATCAGCCCGACCAGACCGGCGGCGCCCATGAGCGAGTAGAGGATGAGGTTGGTACGCAGGGCGATCCAGGCCTTTTGAACACAGGTGAAGCCCCCGGCATTGGCCCAGGCCGGGGGGGGGGGGGGGGAGAGCGACGGAGCATCTTCTCGCGCTCATTACCAATAGTCGGCATTAAATATTGCACACACATATGTTGTTTGCATGTTGCTATCGGCGTCGTGGCCTTCGCACGCCCGCCGCCGCGAAGCGTTCCGCCCGCGCCACCCGCAGGCCCGCGCTCGGGACAGCCAAGACCGGCGTACGTTGGCACATAAATGGCGACCGGGGGCTCGCCGGCGCTCCAGTCTCGGGGGGGGGGGGGGGGGGGGGGGCGCACCTCTTGAAAGGAG